TTATGTTTTAACCAATATCCACATACAAATTCCCTGGACTGATCTCTATATATTTCCTTAAAATCTTAGTTTGGAGAATTTGTTAAAGAATTACAGTGCGACCGGGAAAACCAGGAACACTTGAAATATTTTAAGCATGTTTATTGTGTTAAGACACAAAAGCACAAACTAATCAACATTCCTGCTTGTGGTTAGTTTTCTCATGCCTGATTGGCTTTTTTCTTCCAACACAATAACATTCCAGAGATATCTCTTGTGTTTGAATACTTCTGGTGTTTGACTGTATTTTCCCTTAGGTGATCATTTCATTAATTCTGGTAACCTTTTCATTTGATAATGTCTTGATTAAGGAAAATTTAGGTTGGTCACTCACAGGACTTAAAGGGTTAAAGCAGTTCATGACTTTAAATTAGGACGCCTTGACCATTCCAGTGTTTTCCAGGGAGAAATATTTTTGGCCGGTATTTTTATATTATGTCATGTCCAGGATCACTCTGTCTAAATTATGCTAAAAATGAGTTAGCAGGGGTTTCTATTATCATTGATTTAGGTACATTTTGCATAGCGATTTGTCATTAATTTTCTTTTTTACTTTGCATAATATCACTTTTTCTCTGGTGTTTATGGAAAGATGTTAAAACATGGTAAGCTTTTTTTCTTTTATTGTGCTCTACAATATGTTTTTACACTAATACAGTATAGGATATCATTTCTTTATACAATGTCAATATTTCAGTTCATTCTCAATTACATGTATAGTTAAAGTGTATCACTGTTTGCTAACCGTATGATGATTTCAGGTAGGGCAGGAGTTCCCATGGAAGTGATGGGTCTGATGTTAGGAGAGTTTGTGGATGATTATACTGTCAGAGTCATTGATGTGTTTGCAATGCCACAAAGTGGAACTGTAAGTCATTCATTTATGTTTATTACTATCAGATATACATATTAATTAAAATAATGTTCATTTTTACTCACTTCATCCAACTCACTACTGTTTTTGATTTACAGTAATAAAAGTTGCAATTTTTTTTCTGTGCTTTTTCACATGTAAAACTTTCAAGTTTGTTTTGAAAAATCATCAAACCAATTAATCAACAATTTACTGGTCGGCAAGGCTGTGCTCTAGCAGTGTCCGGTGACCCCCTGTGCCTAACTTTTGCTCTTGGGTGACTAGAAAGTCTTAGCTTTTTTTCATACAAATCATATGCTGTCCACCCTGGATTTCTCAAGTTCAGAGTAACTGTATTGGGCTCCCTTCATTTTTTCATAGAGCACAGCCTTTACTGGATCGCCACCATGCTTAAACACTTTGATAAAACAAGCCATTGAAACATAGGATTTACCAGAAACATAGTTAAGTCCCTTTGATATAAGATGGTCATACATTCTAACCTGATAATGTAAATGTATTATACTGGAAAAATCAAGGAAGCTACTGCACAGTGTATAGAGATTAAGGCCAGACACCCATCTCTTCATTGTTGTCACCATACTCCTATACTGCTTTATGGTTAGGTGACTAATATGTTGCATGTTACTACCCCTAATCAACCAGACTGATGAAAACTGAGTGACTCAGCCTAAATAGCAATAATACATTGGTGAAATTCCTTACGTCCTAGTTAAATTCTTTCAAATGATGTGTCTGGAACGTAGAACAAACGTTTTTGCTTCTATTTTTACCCACACACCCTGTAACATCACAAATATTATTATATTTGATTGGTCTTTTTGCTCTGTTTTGTTCGTATTAGTTATTTATTGATATATATTTACTTACAGGGTGTAAGCGTTGAGGCAGTAGATCCTGTCTTCCAAGCAAAGATGTTGGACATGTTAAAACAGACTGGCAGGTGATTTATTTTTCCTCATTACATTCATATTATTCTTTGCTCTGGAATGCACCAAAAGCCAAAATTTAAACCTAGTCTGAATCTCCATTTTGTAAAAGTGTTGAAGCATAGAATATGACCAAGCAAATAGATCAGTGCATGTAGCTTTATGTGAATGCTCACTTTTCAGAGTTTATCCAAAGACTCAAAAGTTGGAATTACTTTATTACATGATTGTACACTGTACCACAGAAAATTAATGTTTGGTTCCTTGCATTTCAGTGGTCAAATTTTAGGATTAGTGTATACCATTAAGGTGTTTTGTACAGTTTTTCCACATTATAACATTCCCTGTTTTGATGTTGTGCAAATTTTTCCAAATTAATATTCACCATACATACCTCCATGATTAGGACATTTCAGTGAGAATATATTGTCAATGATTTACTTTCATAAGAAGCAATAAAATTCATGGAGTCATGGAAGTATGTATGGTGCACCCTGATTTGGAGAAATTAGCATAATGTCATTATAGTGAATGTTGTAATGAGGATTTTTTGCCGGTTTGTAGGCTAGGTTTTTCTTGAAAGTTGAAGGTGTTACATGGAATTAATCTCAGTGAAAGTTTCAGACATCATAAATTATATTTAAGATTATGTCATGAGATTTTAAAAGAATTCTGTCAAGCCATTCCAGAGATATACAGAAAAGCGCGAAAAGTCGAAATTTAGAATAACATTGCACTTAGACAGGTGGTGATAAAACAATGTTAGTTTTCAGGATCACAAGGAAAAAAATACACCAAAATTTCCAAGCAGTGAAAAATGATATTTAAGTAGCATTCTGAGGTTACTTAAGGTTAATAAGAACTTTTTTATTAAACAATTGGAATATTTTCACGTTTTATTTGAATTCAAACACACAGAACTTTTTACTTCTCACAGAGTTTATTTGCTAAAAACCACACTTTAAGTTCCTGTTGTTAGATTTTCTGAGTAGCAGGTCTAGATCACACAAAAATTGGCCTTTATCCACTTCAAAGTTTTTTGTTTATTGTTGTCATAGTGATATTGATTTCACTGCATTTTGGCAAACTTCAATCCATAATCAGTTAGTGGAGAAAATTTTATAGTGATTGGACAAGGATAAATCATTTTTAAAGCGATTGAAAAATATTGGTATGGCCTCTGAAAAACTGTATCAAAACACCTTAACAGACAGCATAATAAACACCAGTACAGGAAAGTACTGCTCAGTAGCTTTCATTTGAATGGTCACACCACAGGATTTTATCCACAGACTCAAAAGTTAGAACTACATACTAAATAAAATAGTACCATGTGAAAGTACTGCTGAAGAGGTTTCATTTGAATGGTCACACCATAGGATTTCATCAACAGACTTAAAAGTTGGAACTACATGCTAAATAAATAGTACCATGTGAACTTACTGCTAAAGAGGTTTTATTTGAATGGTAACACAGTAGGATTTCATCCCCAGACTCAAAAGTTAGAACTACATACTAAATAAATAGTACCATGTGAACTTACTGCTGAAGAGGTTTCATTTGAATGGTAACACAGTAGGATTTCATCCCCAGACTCAAAAGTTAGAACTACATACTAAATAAATAGTACCATGTGAACTTACTGCTGAAGAGGTTTTATTTGAATGGTAACACCATAGGACTCATCCACACACTCAAGAGTTAAAACCACCTTGTACAACATAACTCTTCGTTACTTCCAAATTTGTGAAATGAAAGTACATGTTGAAATAATAATTATTCTCATATGGGTTTTGCATATCCTGATGCCTTCCTCAGAAGTTACTGAACCCTCAGTAATTAGCCTGCGCTGCAGACGAAGCTAAACTCTGGTTAAGTCCGTCTGCGAAGTACGACAAAATCCTTGTTCTTGGCCACCACCTGTATACCAGGATTTGAGTACGTGCCATGATTGGCCTGTTAAAAATGCTATTGTTGATTTGCCAATCAAGATGAAATAAAATTCGAAATGTCATTCCTGTAATTTGTTGAGTCCATTTGGGGCCAGAACAAGAAAATTGGCGCTGCTCCAAAGATGTTACTAACCAAGGTTGAATACGTCTGTGATGCAGGCTACTCAGTAATAGACTATAGGATATTCTGAGCGGTACAGCTGTAGACATTGTTGTTTGTTTGTTTCTTAGGCCAGAAATGGTAGTTGGTTGGTATCACTCTCACCCAGGCTTTGGCTGCTGGCTCTCAGGAGTTGATATTAACACTCAGCAGGTACGTATTGCATGTACATGTTCTGGTTCAATTTATCCTTGGTTTAAATTTTATTTCCCTTTGTTTTGGGGTATGGAATGTATGATAATGAGTGAAAAACAAAGAGAAATAAAATTTAAACCAAGGACAAAATTGAACCACAACATACACATTGAACTGGCATAAAAATCATCTTATGTATATGGAAGTAAAAAAAAAACTAAGAGTATTGGAATAAACAAGGTCATGCATTAGTGAGGGATCTGGAAAATCATTTTGATACATTGTGATTCCGTTGGTGTTGTAACTTTGAGAACGCTGCTCAGGTGCATGGTTTATACCTTTTGTACTGGCATGTGCCCTGTTTCTTTGGGCTTAATGGATTGACCTATTTTTTTCGAGAATGGCCTTGGGCTTCAGTGTTCGCACGCACCTTGAAAGTCCTTGAAAGTCCTTGAATTTTAAAATATAAATTCAAGGCCTTGAAAATCCTTGAAAATTGCAGTCGTTCCTGTAAAGTCCTTGAATTTCGGTGCTAACTTTGTCCAACCTGGTTTCTCAAATACCTACAAGGAACAAACACAGAAAGACCTTCAGGATAAAATTGCTCATGTTGTGGAAGAACTAAAAAAGACATAGACTCAAGACTTTTTAGCATTGAATGGAGTCTTTGAAAAATGGGAAATGTGTTTTTGAAAGTCCTTGAAAAGTCCTTGAAATTTTTGTTCAAAAAAGGTACGAACTGTGGGGCTTATTTGCTATAAAGACCATGCAGACTAGAGCCTCTTTCCCTGGATAACGAACTCACATATTTTCCCTGATGAAGGCAGCATTGCCGAAACGCCGGAGTTTTATTTGCAGTTATCAACATTTATTAAACTTACCACCTTCACACTTTTAACACACACAAACGCTACGCAGGAACCCCTTTTATTTATTTCCTCTTTATTGTGACCCACACCCAACAAAACCCATGTAAGAAAAGCTCAAAACTCACTCACCAGAGGTTAAAACCACTTAACTTGCTCTAGCCTGCGTACACGAGTCTCTCAGCGTGGGGTGAATGACTCCCTCTCCCACCCCATGTCATGCAAAACTAGAGCTTGTCGGCGTTATGCAGGCTAGAAAGGCTCGATTCACCAGCAGTGTATTACTGAAGATTCGTCAGCAATATCAAGCCGAAATTAATTATTAAGTGCTAACAATTTACTGTTGTTTCACTTAGAGCTTTGAAGCGCTGTCCGAGAGAGCTGTAGCAGTTGTTGTTGACCCTATACAGAGTGTCAAAGGAAAGGTATGGTCTCATTGTAAAGAAAATGACACGGCATTGTGATCATAAATCCAACTAGACTGAACTTTTCACATGCAGTGTAATTAACCATGGAACTAGATCCCCATGTTGCAAACATGCAGGGCGCGTTAAGTTTGAGCCCCTGTTTGTCCCAAATGTGGATAGGCCCTTTACAGCTATGGATCATACGACCCTTCTCCTACCAAAATCATTGGATACAAACTGGCCTTTGAGGACTATCGTGCATTCATATGGTCACCTTTCACATGAATACGTGGCAAACATGTTCGCCTACCCGTACCCAAAACGAAAGCAAGCGTTCTCTAAGGTAGAACGAGTAAACATTGGCCATTAAAAAAAAATTCTGATGTGCCTTTAATTTGGTGACCGGTCGTTTCGCCTACGCCAGGGAGTCGTTTCGCTAACGTCCCGTTCGCGAACGTCTCATTTCGTTCCGCCAAGAAGCGAGACGAGCGCTGCGCATGAATAAGCTTCGTTCTCTCAGTCATGATACAAAAAAGTGGGATACGCACGTATCTACTTCGTTCTTTGAGCCACTGATCAGGTGAAAGCAGTTAGGGAACTGACCCAACACCTACACGAAACGACTTCAGAAGTGGGCGAACAGGACGTTGGCGAAACGACTCGTAGGCAAAACGACTGTTAACCTTTTAATTTATATTGTTTATTTTGTATTGTTTCAAACCACTCGTTTAGGTGGTAATTGACGCCTTCCGACTCATCAATCCCAACATGATGGTGCTAGGTCAGGAATCAAGGCAGACCACTTCCAATCTTGGACATTTGCAGAAGCCTTCAATACAGGTGCAAGTTCTTTCTACAGAAAATCAATATGGTTTATTTATTAGAAGCCTTTAGATTCGAGGAGGAGAGCGAGATTCAATTTAAGGTTTTTTCGCTTGAAAAAAGACACCCCGGAAAGCTTCATTGTACCTTTATTCATCAGAAAAGGTTACACGGCGATCTTCCCTTAACATTAATTTTTTCTGGTCTTTTACAAAAAGATGTGTTTAGAGGAGGGTGAAGTTTGGCGAAAAGCATTTTCAAACAAAATTCTTGTCACGCTTGTCACACAAGGTTTGCGGTCGTCCTTCCTCTCCTGTCCTGTGTGTGCGCACTATTTAATAATGAGAAAATCTCGTACTCGTATACGCCCTCATCGTAAAATCTAGTGGCCTCTATTCTCTTCTGAAAATTTTTGTGCTTATTTCTTTTTTTTTTTTAGGCTTTGATCCATGGTCTCAATAGACACTATTATTCCATCTCCATCAACTACAAGAAGAATGAACTTGAACAGAAGGTTTGCATGTAGCTTTTATTTCTATATTTATAAACAGCGTTTATGTACCACATGTAAGACTTAAGTTATTTTTCTAGCCAATCAAAAAGCTCTTAGACAACCAAATGAGCCAATCATATCGCAAGTCTATGTAGCTGACGCCAAGCGCGGGAATTGCCGTGTGTGCAAGGTTTGGGGAGCAAGGGTGGCGCAGTGGCGAGAGCACTTGCCTCCCACCAATTTGGCCCGGGTTCGAACCCCCGGGAGTTATCTCATAAGTATGTTGAGTATGATCGTCCGGGTGAATGTAGTCCTGAATAGGACTGTTGTTGTTGACAGCGAGTGACGTTTCGACAACCTGTGCGGTGGTCATCTCCAGAGTCAAGTGAGTTGTATCACGTCAGTTCATGGTCTTAAACTATGGTTATTGATCTGTCATCCCACGTGGTACAGACACCGCCATGCTGGGGAGCAAAACATGCACTGGGAGAAAACAATAACATTTACCATTTTAAATGATGTCAGCTCTTTCAGTGTCCTGTGTCAGTGCGTGTCTTGGTCTCTAGAATGGCACCTTTGAACCACGTGAATGACTGGCAGCAAAGGGTCTATTCTGCCTAGACTACGAGTAGTCTCCAGTTTTCCTCAGGGATAGTAGAGCGAACGAAACGCGAGCGCGCTTGAAAATCACCCCACGCGAGAAAGGCGAGACGCGGCGGGGAGAGGAAAAATTGGGACTCGTAGTCCAATTCTACCAGATGATCGCATTTCTAATTCTGAAGTTTCTGTTCCTCAGATGTTGCTGAATCTACACAAGAAGACGTGGATGGATGGATTAACTTTACAAGATTATGACGGACACTGTGCGCTTAATCAGAAAACAGTGAAGGTATGTTGAATGGCTTAGCTCCATGATTACCACCCTTTTCGCTGAGGGGTGTGGATTCCACGTGCCCCAAAAAGCTGATAAAAGTTTGACTTATTCAGATTCCTGAAGGGAAGCAGGTCTATCTGGGATAAAAACTATTACGAAAATCACTGCGCAAAGTTTCAGTTGTGTAGGAGCTGCTCGTAAGGTCTCTCCTGATTGGTCGCAGAAAACAATGACGTAATTTTTTAATTGTTTCGGTATTTTTTGGGGGGTCAGGGTTAAGCACCATTGGTGACTTCTCTTTCGAGCAGATGCTACATGACCCCAAAGTTTAGTGTGTAAACCTGAAACACCCTCTCAAGACGTCTTTTTTTTTGGAAAACTCGATTTGCGTTCTTCCGTCTTTTTGAACAGAAATATCTGGACAAGGTTTAAACACGGGATTAAAAAACTTTATTTTTTTTTCTTGCAGGAAATGTTAGAGCTTGTCAAAAATTACCACAAGGTAGGTGACGACGGTACTAGCACCCTTTCTTGACACAGCAAAGAAATTAACTCGTTCTTCACTTTCGGGTCAATCAAGTCAAGTCCCTTCGAGAGTGTAGCTAGTATTTCATTTCAACATCTATACAAGGCTAGGGTTTGGGGGCAGTCTCCTGAAAGCCTTTTAAAGTTGCCTTGCACAACTCAAAACAATTTTGTCTTCTTTGTGTTCTTAAATAATCAATCATTTACAGGTCACTGTAGATTATTCTTTCTTCAGGAAGATATACTGCAGACAATTCTTGGTTTTTGTTGTTACCGAAAATCTACCAAAAGTCCTTTATTAAATAGGTATTCTACGCAACACCTGAGTCGATGAGTGTTAAATCCTTTTGTTTGTTTGTTTGTAGGCAGTGGAAGAGGAAGATACTATGACCCCAGAACAACGAGCGATAAAAAATGTCGGCAAACAGGTGTGTATGTAATGAACGGTACCGAAACAAGCGTTTTTGACACCTTTTCAGAGCAATTTTTTACTCTTGCCTCGCGTTGTACGGCTGAAAGTTAAGGTCATGGTTAAAATATCATGTACCATGGTTTGTGGTTCGGTAGGCAACAGTTATAAAACTATGAAAATTCTCTCGCGTTTGGTGACGCTGGGGTGGCCATTTAAATTTTAAATAGGTAGCAGGAGCCCATGATTGTGGGCTCTTATAGGCAGTCAGCTGGTTACCAGATAGACTACGAGTCTACGAACAGTCTGTCTTTTTTGTTAGTCCGTCGAGCGAAACTCGCGAGACACGAAAATGACCACTCCCGTGACTGAAGGCGCGTGCACTCCCTCACTAAGACCCTGTTTACATGGCGTGGGGGACCCCGGTCTAGCAGGGTAAGTTTCTTTTGTTTTGTGTCCCCCAGAGCGTGAAAACAAAAGAAACCAACCCCACTAGACCGGGGTCCCCCACTCCATGTAAACAGGCCCTAAATCTGATGGAGAGAATGTTCGCGGTCTAGTTACCAGAAAGCTCCGGAAACCGTCGTCTCAGACTAATCTCAGTCAAATTCTTGGTTCAGACATCGCGCCAGCTGACCGCGTAGTTAAACGTCAGAATTCAACATTTTCACATTGCCCATAAAACTCCTCGTTTACCCCTTCCCCCAATTTTGCAAAAGCATTCTTTTCAATTTTTCTTGGGACGACTGTAGTACCCAGTAGAAGAAGAAAACAGTGGATAGGCAAAATTTTGGGGGGTAAACAAGGTGTTTTCTAGGCAATGTTAAATGTTGAATGGCCAACAGAAAACCAACTACATGCCTTTCTATAGCAATGATATAACTGGCGTACTTGGCGTGCTTTCAATCCAGGTTATTCTAATCGGATGCGTGAGGCCTCGGTGCGTCCCTTACTAACTGCTACTTAAAGGCGTAATCAAGTTGGCCAGCTGCATCATCCCTATTCATTATCACAAGTTAACTTGTAAACAGACACAGTCAAAGCATTCAAAAATTATTCTTTAATGGGACAAAATCGTAGTGTCTTATTTCATTTTAGAATACAAAAAGAAATGACGTTATCTTAGTAAATAACTCTTGTTTACCAGTTATTAGAACTACTTAAAGAAATTTTTTTGTTTTTTGGGTGGGGGGNAAGGTGAATAGTGAGACCTACCTAGCAGTACTGCCCTGTAAGTGAAAACTACGGAGCAATACTGTTGACTCTGGTTATTTCTGGCCTTTGAGTTTAAATAAATGGCATCTCTTTATATAGCGAATCAGATTCAGTTACTAATAGAGGGTGCTTACCGTAAGTCACTTAGACTGGCCGGCCAGATCAGTCCATTTGCAAAGAGAAGTTAAAACGTTTAATAAGAACCGTCCATCCAGATAACTTAACTCCATACCTAATAGAATGTGCGGCAGTGATAGGTTTTATCGAAAACTTTCTAGCCTGAGAAAGCAGCAGTCATTTGGCGACGCCACCAACGAATTCCCGCGGGGAAACTGGCAGGTAAAAACACAGGTCACAAGTGCAAGTCACTGGTTTATTGATAGATCACTGAGATAAGCAGTTTCCCCTTGAGCTAAAACTCTATTTTGGAGTGTGATTAGGGCTAGGAGACACTTTTAGAGTTGTTTATTTACCGTACCACGGTGACCGCACTCTAACCTACACTCGTGATCTGTTACCTGTTACCTGTGCCGCGGGGAAACCGTTGGTGACGTTGCGAAATGTCGGTAGCCTGTGTAGCATGGCGGTTTTGTCGGGCGCACCACTGAGCCGCAAAAGCGCGCGCGAACGAGCGGGCGAAGCAACGAGAAAAATAAAAACCAGCGCAGTTTCACTGCCCTCGCCCACCTTGGCTTGTTGGCGCGCCCGACCAAAACCGCCGTGCTATGCACGCTAAATGCCGGCTCTTTTCTGAGGCTAAAGACCCTCAAAACGACCCGTTTGGAGTCCAGTCCCGCCGGCTTATTCTGACTCTTGGTAAGCGCCCCAAGTCTAAGCTAGACTTCAAACCAAATCCTTCTTTGTGTTTTTATCAGGATCCCAAGCGCCATCTTGAGGAAAGCGTAGAAGTAATGATGACATCAGATATTGTTCAATGCCTGGGTGCTATGCTTAACTCCGTTGTCTTCTAGCCTAACTAAAACGGATCGCTTGTAATTTGTACAGAAAAAATAAAGCTTAATTGTCTCTTTAGTCATTTGGAGTGTTTTTCAGTAATGCATCAGTACAATGCAATAAATTGTATGCGTACTTTATTTCGTGGGTTTACCACCTAAGCCTTGGTTTGGAAATTCGTTGACTATACAACTCGACGGGGTTGCTTAGTGGGATAGCATCCTGTTTCAAGAAAAATGTCACTGAAGTTTGACTCCTCCTGTAGACGAGGCTAAACCTGTACTTAAAAGGATATTGGCATTTTACTGAAGGCCTATCACTGAAACCTGGTTTCCACATAACCAATGTTTTCATCGCCTCGATTTTTTGGGAAGATCAAGACAATAGGAAACCAGCCCAAATATAGACTTCACTTCTTTCCAGGCGATTGCGATGACCACAGTAATCCGTATTGTCCCACATCGCATCAAAAGTGATCGTCTCAGATTTTGAAACGACTCCAGCGATCGAGACAAACCAGAGGTTTAAATGGAAACCGAGCTTAAAGGACTGATACTAACCGTTACATTACCTGCTGAACACAAGAGGTTTGCGTCCACATTAATCCTCCTTAAGCCACTTCTACCTCACTGGACTGTACTTAACCCAGGAACCTGCTACATGTACATTCTTCTTGCGATTCCGGCGACTTACAAACACTACTTTAGTGGTATTGAACCCAGCCACACGCAAAAACGCTACAATTTAAACCTCCCTTATAAAGACACTTCATGGTCTTCGCCATAAATACTACATATTGAACCTCCAAAGGGCAGACAGCTCTCTTTTAAAGACCCGCACAATTTCATGTGATCTTCATTGAGGAAATATGACATGCAAGCGAGATAGGGCGATGGCACTAAAATTTTATATACCACTATTGCCAGCGAGTGTCCCAGTCACGTGGAGGGAGGAGATGGCGGATGTCAGCGCAGCTCACAGGGATAGGTGACGCGCACCACGAAGAAACCGGAGGAAAAAACGAAAGGGGCATTTCGAATCCGTGCAGGCAAATGGGGTCGTCCAGATCACTTACAAAGACAAATCACGGTGACATTTCATACAAGAGCTGCACTTGCTGCAATCCATAGTGACCCTGTTGTTTCTCCAAATTCCTACTCCACAGTGTGCAACATGAGGATAAAAGCTGTAGTTACGTGTAACGTGACTGCACCGCTCACCTATCACGATGTCCGACGCAGCTTCACTGAATATGCACTCTGCCGCGATAGCCGCTGCAGCCACAAACAAAACCCTACAGTCAGATATATAACCATATCTTCCCTTCACAATGACTATTCTACATCCCCTCGTTATCACTCTGTGGCATCATAAGTGGCATACTTACCATGACTTAACAATATAAATGCTGTTTTCTCTTACCAATAAGAGTCGTTATCACGGCTCGGTACCCATCCCCGCAGCACTAATACTCGCCACACGACACCCACATCATGAATTCACTATGACCGCGTTGTACACAGTCTGTGGCACAGATGTTTACCACGTAATACCCATAGCAATAAAAACATTCTTCACGAAATCCTGGCTGTAGTGAACCCATACAATAAAGCTTGGACAGTAAGAAAAACCATCTTGTGTACAATTCACATGTTAACGTCATAAACCTGCTACTGCGGTAATTAACCTACATCATGATTCCGGAGTGTCTATATTCTCATAAAAAAACGAACGGCTGACAATTACCATATCGTACCCATAACGTGTTGTACCCAAAACAAAACTATACAGCATCGGTAATCAGCATGTGCTTTAGCCATATACGCCTACACAACTCACATTTTGTGAAATGTTGATTATTATCATTTTTGCACCCATACCATGCCGCCCTAGCCTGGAGCCTCTGCCACTGATAATTACCATGCTGTATTCATTAACAGAACTGAGGCACAACCAAGTTATTACTCTCAAGCAGTGATAAATACCATGCCACAACCATAACATGACTGCACCAGACCCATGTTACGAAATCGGCAACACTGACAATTAACATGTTGCAAATCATATCATGGTTGCATTAGTTAAGCCAACATTACAGCCCTGGGGCAGTTATAAGCGACAACTGCCGTACCGCGAAGATATCATAGCTGCATGACACCCATGTTAGTAAAGACTATGCAACACCCTTTGCTAAGAGGTGCCAAATTTACAACTTCATGTTACTTGTCAGCTTGAAGCAATCGTGATATTTCACACTCAAGCAATTCGCAAATCTTTGGCTTCTACATTATTTCTATGCTGTACCCTAATACGAAGACGAATCAAGCTGGGAAAATTCAGTTATCTACCCATCCACAGTATCCCACGTATCAAAACGGTGCCACCCCAAGATAACAACAACAACAACGACAACAACAACAACAACCACCTTTCACAAGTCTCACTTTATCAGGCAACATCAGTTTCTATAAATACAACTACGTTAAACGTTTGATCTCGAGAGGTATGTAACCAGACGCGCTTTCAACAAATACAACGCCCAATTATTGCTGGTTACGACGAACTACAAGGTATACAGCGGAATATGACATGCATTGCCTCAATGCTGACAAAATGTTGCTTCTAAATAATGAAGTAAAACAGAGCTAAAACTAAAAAGCCCGAATACTTTAAAAACGCGATTCACCAAAACGATGCAAAAGGCCCTTTCTGCCTCAGCAAAGTGAGAAGAGCTTCGTCTTGATAAAACCAAGTGCCACCGTTGGATAGGGGCCGCTAGCATCCACAACTATCCAAGCCAAAAAGATAAGCCTTACTGTGGCCTAAGAGTTGCAAGGGTGAATTTTTCAAAAGTACTACGCTCATAGGGCTAGTAAATAAAAACAACCTACAAGTCCCAGAAAAACGTGTCAGGCAGAACAAGTCCTTTCTATAAACCACAGCTAAGTATAAACTACTAAACAACTTGGCAGTCCACAATGGAAGGATTGCAAGTGAGAAACATGACTATAAGAAGGCCAAGAAAAGCGGTTCTCTCTCCTTTTCAAAACATCATTCCCTGGTTCCCTTCATACATCAGCCCAACCGATCCAATCTGACATCAAGCTCACGGCCATCAACCATTGTGCCATTGAACATGGCTGAAAGGTTGTTAAGGAAAATTTAAAGCAGTCAATTATAAATGTATTAGCCTCAAATTTAAGTAGTTTGTGATTTTGCAAACCGCGAGAAAACAAAGGAATTCACTAACAAGAAAGGACGTCGGTAAATCGCGAAGCCCGTTTTTTCTTGTGCGCACTACTTTCAAGCGCCTGCTACGCAGGCTAAATTGAATTTGAAATTTTTGCAAAACCTTTGGTACGAATTTCTTTAGTCCTAAAACAAAAAAAAAAATGATAATGATAATATGTACTCCGACAACTCCATCTAAATCTTTATAAAACAGGCTGGATGGATGAAGTAAAGATCAAAGCCAATTTTAGAAGGATTTGTATGGGGTCATCAGAGCAAACCGGTCCTTATATCGACCCATCAATTTGCACTAACAGGCTAATTTTTGGCAATGGGGCATTTTTCATCTTGTTCTTTCTGAATATGCTAACCAATCCCATAACTTCACAAATTTGAATTTTTAAGACGTCACACTTCTCTTCTTTATAACAATAAATTACTAATTTTATGACAAAAAATTAAGGATACATATTGCATGGGCTGCATCCTCAGAAGTTTCAAACAACACCGTCCCACAGCCTTTTGATCTTCCACTAGATTCTGTCATAATATCTGCACGCACAACTCTCCCTGAATCGGAAAAAAAGCAATTAAGATTTCAATCACTAACTGCCTTCATCATAACAATGACAAAATTCTCAAATCTGACTGCTGTCAGCTGTCCTGATTTCAGCACAATAGGACAGTAAAAGTCATGCCTCATTGGACAGTACAAGCCATCGCATGCATGCACTTGAATGGTTTCGTTTTTCACTGCTAGCAAAAACTCTCGAATATCTTGTGTTTTAATTTTTAAAATGCCTAAAATATCACACATTTTGTTATACTTATGATTAATGATATGATCATGTCATCCAATTCAGTACGTAATAATACTCATGATTAAACACTGAGTTGAACTCCTGCTGTGATTGTCCGATTTTGTCAATCACTCATACAATTTACAAACCAAATTGGACTCCTATTACCATTATCAATCATAACTACAGTATAACAAAATTAGCTATCTGCAGCCCTGATTTCATCATGAATAGGACGGACCACTAGGAAAGTATATGTCATGACTAAATTAAATTGGACAGTATATGGCATGGTGCACATGCTCTAGACTGGGATTTCATTTTTTCTTTAAAGAAATGCATAAATTATCGAAAGTTGTCATAGTTATGATTGATAATATTGGTGACAAAACTTCAATTCGTCCAATTTGGTCTGTAATCATACTTGTAATCGGACTAAGTGGTGTCCAATAAATTCAGTCTGTCAATGAAAAGGTCTCTCAGATTCAGCTGCACGTGTCCATGAATGTTTTTGGTATTTGGTGATATTAGTATTCATCATAATCGACATCAGCAATTCACAATAGTTAATATTTTATACTTTTATATGATTAACTGACTTACCTGCCCCTTTAAACTTGTCCTTTAAGTCTTGCCAAGTGTAACGCCAAGGAAGCTGTTAAAATATTCCAATCCCCACATTAAACAAACCACCCTCCAAAATAGAGCAGAACCCACAGATGCAGAGAGTTATAACCTTTCTCATCAATAACCAGACATTCCTGTGCAGTCATGAATACAGTTCTGATTTTGACTTGAGATGGGCTTCAACTCAAAAAGTGACCAGTCAAATGAATCGATCAAAGCGTTCTTTTACCATGTTGTGTAAAGTTTACTTCTAATGTTTGAGTCTATGGAGGAAATCCCTAATGTATGGCCATGCACAAGAAATCGACTTAGTGGTTCTTCCCTGTGATGCTGCTTATTACACTGTACAAGGTGGTAGTACGTTTTGAATCTGTGGATGAAATCCAGTAGAGTGACCATTCAATTGAAAGCTAATGAGCAGTACTTTCCTGTGGTACTGTTTATTATGATACACCTACAAGGTGGTTATAACTTATTGAGTATGGATGAAATTTTAAGCCGAAGGCCACAGTTCACCAAAGAAGAAGATCGCACCCCCAGCGCAAGAAGACAAGTAAAACTTTTAGACTTCTCGGCCAGTAAGAATGTGGATTGTAAAACCACTTCTTATCATATTACATATAATTTGCAATCACTTCACCAAAAAGTACAAACGTTACAACAAGAAACAAGAACACTGCTCAAGATAAATTATAGACCTTTCCTGGCCTTTTCAAGATCTCAAGTACATTAAACTCCAACTTAACAACATCAGATATATTTGTACACAGAACCCTCAGATGTACCATTTCACTACTCTTAGCATGCTCTATGGCTTTCACTGCATCTGTTCCAGAAACAACAGATTTCTGAAATCAACATTTTCAGAATTAGCCAATGATTTGGTGCTACCTCTCCACTCTACATGTACCTTTGATATTCTTAGATATGCAACTTCTTCAAACTGTTCTGGGCTGAAAATGATGCCCTTTCCAAGAACCTTAGAAACCCCGCTCGCAAACATAAACATCATAGATCAGCAGTACTTACATTTCTCACAAAAACCTGCCGACCCGCAGTTCCACCATCACTGTGATGTGATCCACCAAGCCCTCCACCCATGTTCCCACCACCGCCGCCACTACTGCCACCTCCACCGAGCAACGTGCTTCCAAGCATTCCCAGTCCGCCAAGTGCTGCAAGAGGGTTGCTGCCAGGAGTGTCAGGTATCCCTCCAGGTCCACCAACACCTCCAATTCCACCACCTCCAGACAGATTACCAAGCGCAGCGCCCAATCCACCACTGCCACCGCCAAGATTGTTTGTTAACTGGGCCAGCTGAGTCAGCCCTTGAAGACTTTGAAACAGTTGTAACACCGCCATGGGATTCATGCCGGCCCCTGGTCCAGCTCCAGCTCCTCCTCGGTTCATGTTTGGGTTGTTAAGACCTGTATTGCTAAGTTGCTGCATGATGGGTGCATTGCGATCCTTTATTAAAAGGAGGGAAGACAAAATATTTTATCCAAACCAACATGACTAATACCAATACAAGAAAAACGAGGTGTGAGAGGACACCTATCTCACATTTCCATTAACAACTTTAAAGCAAGCTTCTGTAAGAAAAAATATTCAAGTGTAATCACTTACATGCAAACTATGAATTCATTAGTTCTTACCGTCCTTAAGGACGTTTTGCAATGTTGCCTTATGAGTCTGTGAATAAATCCTTAAGCAAACCAATCATTTGAAAGAGGAACTAATATTTTAAGGTTTACTCATATCTCAAGATAATCTTGTTCCAATAATGACTCAAAATATTGTGACACAGCCTCTTTAAATTGAAAAATTAAAAAAAGTGAAAGTAAACAGATCAATTTAGGTTTCTAGGAAACTGCCCACCTACCCCTCCCCTAAGCCAACATTTTACCCTAAGTGAGAAGTGATAATGTTGGCTTAGGGGAGGGGTAGGTGGGCAGTTTCCCAGACATCTAACTTGATCCAAGTAAACTTACCAATCTTACACTCATAGCTCTGTCACAGAGAACATGGCCATGGAACATGGCTAAGTTACGCATGCAGTTAAGAATAAATGTTTTAACCAACATTGGAAATGGAATACAGTCAAATCCTGTTAACACAGACACTGAATGGGCCATAGAAAGTGTGTCCATATTAACCCTTTAAGTCCCAATATCCACATACAAATTCTCCAAACTGATCTCTATATATTTCCTTAAAGAATGAGTTGAGAGAAATTGATAAAAGATCAAAGCATTTTCTCTTAGGTGATCATTTTATTAATTCTCATAACTTAATCTCTTGACAATGTATGGATATTGTTAGGAGAAAATTAATGTTGGCCACTATTGGGACTTAAAGGGTTAAGCGGGTTAGATTTAGAGAAAATGTACGGGCTTTCTTTAATCCCTAGAGACAATGCAAACTGTCTGTAATAATGGGGTGTTAGTAAAGCAGGGTTTGACTAAAAATAGTAGCTAATGAAACAGGGATGGTTAGCTGAGTGGACAGATGAAATCAACAGACACTGTAACATTAATTGCGTTAATTCATTCATTCATTGGGGAGCAAGGAATGGTGCAGTGGTGAGAGCGCTCGCCTCCCACGCCATGTGTGGGTTGAAATTGTTGTTGGTTCTCTCCTTTGCTCCAAGAGGTTTATCTCCAGGTACTCCGGTTTTCCCCTCTCTTCAAAAACCAGCATTTCCAAATTCCAATTCGACCAGGAATCAGGTAGACGAAGAACCACTTTGTGGATGTGCTACCTCCAAATCATTATTTATTTTATGTTATTTTATTTTATTTGTATTCATGGAAAGGATACAAACTGCATTTATAGCTTCAGTTGCCGTTTCAAATTGTACAGTACCAAAACCTTTGGATTTATGATCTGAGTCCAAATTTATATCTGCCCTGACAACATTGCCTGAAAAATAAGGGTCACCCAGTAAGTATGTTAGTATGTTATTTGCAAATAACATCACTGCAGCTGGTTCATGCTGCAGGGCTGCCACTAAGATTTCAAGTTGCCAGGTAAATACAACAAGTAGGTTGGGAATTAAGCAGTTAGGGATTTTTTCTGGTTCTACTTTCTTCTATTTTCCTATAACCGGGGTATATATTCATGGAAGTCAGAGGAAATCCCCGGCTCCCAGCCTTTATTGACAGCCCTGTGCTGTCATGAGTGACAAAAGTGAAGCCTGTCTGATAGTGCTGTCATTCTAAGTGGATTAAACCAATGGACTGTTGTGCTTTCATCACACACTATGGGCAAGCAAGTTTAAAAACCTTTAAAAAACAGGGGTTGAAAATTTTTCTCAAGTCTTCTAGCCATGAACTACAGTGGAATCCCATTAATGTGACCCCCATTGGGCCATAAAATCCTGGTCATAATAACGAGGTGATTGAATTTACTGGGTCTTCAAAATAAATAATAAAATGACCAAGTGTTTTACGTTTGGATTGAAAGAATATGGTCATAATAACGAGGTCGTCATAAGGTGGGGCTCCAATGTAGTTGGTGTTGGTAACTTGCAAGCACACTACCCCTAAAAGGAGGATTAATAAACAGATTCTTAATATTTCATGGTTTAGATTTAAGTTATAAAACTGTCTACTAGTATTGTTATTTTACGAGGTTTATCAAGTTGCAATACACACAGTCACATACCAGCTCCTCTGAATTTATCTTTAAGTCTCTGCCAGGTGACACTGTAGTCAAGCTGTTGGGCAAAAAAAATCAAACTAATTTTTGAGTTCAGGAATTTTTGGTAGATCAATAGTTTTGTCCACATTGTTTTCTGATATCTTTTTGTCTTATCTATTTGATTCCATTTCATTGTTCTTTACTTTCACTTTATCTATACCAGTTATTGTGCAACTGCCAATAAATTGCAAACATGCCACAGTTCTAACCTATCATGATGTACTCAGTCTACATTAAAAAAAGTACTGTTGGTGCAAACCTAAATTGTATTGTACTCCTGAAGAAGGCCGAGTCAGCCGAAATGTAAAGTAAAAGCAAATCACAAAGACCTATTTCAATTTGGATTCTCAATCATTACATGAACAGTTCTCATTTAATGTTTCAAGTTTCCATGATCGCTGCTAGCTTCCCATAAATAGTGGGCATTTGAAATGATATCATTGTTTCTGCAAGACCCATCACAAGAAATCCAAGTAATCGCAGAAAGCAACAAATACTTGAAAGTGAAACTGATTAACTTACATTACTGACAAAAACTGTGCATGACAGCGGATCAGTTTTGTAATTAATTCCTTGAGCGAAGTTTCCAAACCCCAAGCCTAAAAGGCCTCCAATATTACCAAGAGGTCCACCACTGCCACCACTACCACCCAGGGCAAGACTACTGCCACCATGCCCACTACCATAACTGCTGCCAAGGTCTGATCCCCTGGATGATGTGGTTCTGCGTCTGTCACTTCGATCTTCTTCAATCCGATCCTGTAAGACAGTTAGGCATTGGTTAGCGTAATGTATGTACAGTATAAAATAATGCCTCTGGTGCAAGGTGTGATGTAGCCTAAGAAAACAATTGACATTTCTCGATGTTGCAATATTGGTTACCCCACAAAATGGCATCTGCAAAACAAGCACAGAAATTCCATACTAATGACATGTCACTACCCAGATCTCAAGGGTGCTTCTGATTGGCTGAAGCAAATTTCCCTTGCGGCATGACTAATAAGAAGCACTGCCCAGATCTGATCGATCAAAAGTCATCAGTACAACATTTCTGTGTTAATTTCTTGGACTTCATTTCATGTTGAAAACAGTTACGGCATCACAATATGTCGACTGTTGTCTCACACTAGATTGGATGATCTAGACAACTGAGGAGATAGAAACTTTAGTCTGAATAAGGCCACAAATTTGTCCAGATAGTTGTGATCATTCCAATCCCTAATACTTTTGGGACAACTACTGTGATCAAGAAAGTACCAGTAAAACTCTATGGATGCCAGGCTTTACCTCACGTATATGGATGGACCTTCCTTTAAATTCTGTCCCATGGAGCTCTTTGATGGCTTTTTCTGCATCATCTTTATGTCGAAATTCCACAATGCTGCAAAAAGGTTAACCAACGTACTTTCATATTCAAGAGTAATTCTGTTTTTTTTTTTTCATTGATAATACTAATATAAGCTATAAACTTCAAATCATCAATAGCCATAAAACTATGACCAACATATTTTTTAACTTCTTTTGTGTGTCGATCAACTGTTAACCCTGACAAAAGATACATGAATATCATGTATTGATGCCTCAGAGAGCTGATAGCATAACATTACATTAGCCATGTGTTACGCAATTCTATCATTAAACTTTCGTCGTAGAAATTTTATTTGTAAGAAACAAAATCATACGATGTAATGTCATTTTATCACAAAATTTTTCAAAATAAAAATAGTGCTATTCTTTTACAAAAAACTATTCAATGCCATGGTACTAGAAACACTTACCCACATCCCTGAAAAGAGAACAAAAAAGAGGGAGTTAACAAAAATTAAAAACTGAGAAAAATTATGAATACAAAATACAAAAATACAAAAAAATAACTATTACTGACACTATAAATAACAATATAATGATTATTATTCTGTAAGCCACAGTTGGTGTCTAAAACTATTAGTTCTAAAACAACAAGAAATATTATAGAGCAGATACTCCTTCCTGAATTAGATATTAGTCCTCTAAAGTATTTTCTAATTCCACTATTGTAAATATGTTGCTAGTTCCAATGTTCAGGCTTAGGTATGTTTATGTTCACAAACTAATTTTCTAAAAAAATTTTCATGCAAAAACTGTGATGTTTCTTTGTTAGTTTCCAACAATTTGACTTACGGGATCTCATAAATTCTATCCCAGAATTTACCAGTACAACTATACAGAGAGTAAGTGAAACCAAAGACCAGAACTTTACCTTTGATTTTCCATGACTGTCCTCTATGATATCTACATATCCAACATCACCAACTACCAAAAAAAAATAACAAACAACGTAAAGCAATTCAACCCTTTCACTCAAGGGAGGTTTGTAGGGGCACTGCCATATGCTTTTGCTCAATTTGCTTAGCCGTTTCATGGTATTTTAAAGGGAAGATATTATATCTTATCTTCATTTAAAATTTGTATTTCGCAGTTCTTCATGTTTTGTGGTATGGTTGCCATGGTGACCTCCTTGAAGCTGAGAGGTTTTCTGGGTTACTTAACATTTACATGAGAAAACTGGAAATTTGGTTGAAAAATCAAACGGCGATGACCGTACCATTTGGGAAATAGAGGAGAGGAAAGATGAGAAGATGAATATCTTTTCACCTGGTTTGGATATAATTTGTACTGGGTCCTTCCCATGATATCAAATTTAATTGTTAAATGTTTATGCCTAGAATTTCAAACTACATGGTTTATGTAAATGGTACTTAGCACTCCTGCTCTCCTATGTTACTACCTCTGTTGGCACCTAACCACCAATGTTATTTACTAAGTGTTTTAATTTAGTCTGACACTCTAACTTTTGAGACTGTGGAAAATAAAAACAAGAAACTTTAAAATCTAAGCTAATCGTAATAGTTAGCTTACAATAAATAATTAATGTTGTTATGGTCCTTGACAAACCATGGATCAGACGAGATCGGATCAGATAAACCACTGCACCGTAACCTTATCCTCATCATTTAGTCAATTTANGAGGTATTTGACCAAACATTGGAGCAATAAAATAACCTGCTAAAAACTAAGGAATTAATAATCATCAAAAGTGTACGTTTGTCGAAGACATGCTTGACACGGTTTATCTGGCCAAGGCGGGACATGCACGAGGAAGCGGTTTTAATTATATGTTTAATTAATTTATAGCAAGTGAGTTACAGAAATTGATGCCATCCAGTCTGATCTAGGGTTTGTGGACGCCTTATTGTTTTTGTGAGTCTTCTTCTACTTTACTGCCTAACAAAGTTTTCGCTTCAAGTGAGTAGCGTCGAGCCAGCAGCTGCATGCGTGAACTCAACTGTTGTAGTAGTTTTTCGTTTTTTACACGTAATATTAGTCCTTAACAGCAGAATTACCTTTCTTCATAAAGTCCTTTAAATCCTGCCATTTTACAGAGTACGGGAGATTCCACACGTATACACGACACTCCTTTCCGCCGCTTCCAGACTGTCGCCTAGAATTCGACCTTTCATCTGCCGAAGGATACGGAGCGTACCGTCTATTTTCGCGTCGTAAATCCCTCTCATAACCACCGCCTCTTCGCCGTCTATCTCTGTCGTCGTGGTCGCTTTCTCTGCTCCCTTCCCGTTCATTTCTGGGGTCTCCGTCGATAGGAGAATCGTCTCTGCGGCCGGCGCTTGAATACATCGCGTCCTCCTGATCCGCCATTTGCAATTTTGAGTTCTCTTCCCCAACGCGGCTTGCTGTGTAACCAGGTCGACTTTGAACCTGGACAAATTACAAACAACCGGGGTGAGGTGGGGAGAGTATTAAAAAAACTGAAAACTATGCGAAATATCTCAAAGGAAATTTTAAAATAAATAAAGAAATCTTCTAATGACGCTTTTTCCTTACCATCAGTTAAAGTGTCTTACCTGTCATTCCAAAATTAAATTGGCATCCAACGTCAAAATTTTTGAGGGAGGGGTGGCTTACCGGTATGTATTTTCCTTCTTCGCAAACTATTGCGGGCTCGCAACACTCATCGGTCTTCGATAGTCGCCTTGCAAAATACCGAAAGAAAATCTTTTGATGGCGATGTTTTGGAATCTGGTGCGATTTTGAGGAGTCCTTTGGCGATCATGAGTTGACAAGCTGAGCTTTACAGTATAACCAAAGCAAACCATGTCTGCAAAAGGGTAACATTTTTTAATTAGGCACAGAAACAGTGTAGTGTTGTAAAATTTCTGATACTTTAATTGGCCTAAGCTTAATATGCATATGTCGAACTAGTTGGCTTCTTCTATCTGACATTTTAAGGAGTGAGCTACGGAAGTTAAGCGAAGAAAGCTTAACGAGACCGCCAGAAGAAGTCTTTGATGTTTTGGAAAAGCTGGGAGAAGGGTAAGCTTAAAGGCTAATCTTTAATCCGGTTGTGAAATGAATTCTAAAAAATTATTCTAGAATTCTGCTCAATATTTTTAATTGTCATGTTTTCACGTTTATTTTTGTCCCAGGGGCTATTCTCGTTATCTATCGAATTTATAAACATCGTAATTAGTTTTTATTACTTTCTTTGTGGCTCTAAGAACAACACCCACGACAAAAGTAAACTTGAAATCCCACCATATATTCAGCATTAATTTTAGCATGTTTTGTATTTTCCTTAACCTAATTCATTTTATTCCTGTTCTTAACTGACAAATGATTGACATCTGTATGAAATGTCTAAGATGAAGTAACATCTACTCTATTTATTTGGGTTTAAGCCAGTTGCGATTAAAGTGACAAGTAAGGAGAGGGTATTAAAAAAAAATAGGCTCTAACAGGAACTTTTTTCTTGCATAAGCAAACTTTTCCCATACTTGAAAATTGTATGAAAATGCCCAAAAGTTGTGCAAAAGCCTGAACATGAGAAATAATACTACACTCAAATTTCCATTAAGTGGCCCTGTGTTAACTGACCACTTATCAAATTCCTGGAATTTGCTTCCCACATTTACTAGAATGACATTCATTCTGGAACAAGTTCATTCCATCTCAATATATTTTTTTTATATTTCGTTTCTGTACAAGACATTCCAAGATGAGTTTATTCCAGTGTTCAATCTGAATGAAATTCTTGTTCTGGTACAAAATTTTGTTCTGGTATCGTGTAAACTGAAAACGAACTTTGATCGGGATTAGAATAATCGCAAATTGTGTGGTTTGTGGTGAGTGGTACATGCTATCTGATCTGGTGCGAAAACCACGCGAGTGAGAATGCCTTAGGCTTAGGCTCGATTTCCGCCATCTCTCAGGTTCGGCCTTTGATCCTTCATGAAGAGGGATTCTTTTGGGGGAATGAGTGCAGGCTCATTTTCCCGAACACTGGCTGGTAATTGTGCTTACCTTAGGCACAGCCAGTCTATTTTATCAAGTGAATGCAGCATGAACTTCATTCTGGAATGAGACTCACTAAGGAATGAATTTCACCCCGGTACAATGTAATCAGCCCTGGCCATTAATTTGACCTCTATTGTGTGGTTACCTGCTTAAAGAGAACATGGTCACCCTTTAGACTTCCAGATAAATTAGCCAAATTATTAGGGAGTTTAAGATACGGCCACAAAAATTTCGCTTGAAAAGTGAATTAGCTTTCTTTCAATCTCTATTATGATTACTCCAACTCATTTAATTTGCGAATGCAAGCAAACCCTTTTTGAGCCAAATTCTTAGGAACCATATTCAAGTTCAGAAAGGGAAAGGAAATATTGCCATCACTTGTTTACGTCCTCCATAAAACATAAAATTAGACATTTTCCCTGCATATGCAGAATTGTTGTTTTGCCTCTACAACCTACTGTTTTTTTCAACATTCCCATTGTCATGGCTGACTTGGCATCTTACAGTCCCTATTGGCCAAGTTAATGCAACTTCATCTCAGTCACCTAGTTACACAACAAGGTGATGTTTTGACACCACAATAAATGAAACATGTCCACTTTCTTCTAAAAACCTCATAAAAATACATTATGATCAACAAATTAATACTTCTGTAGCACAGTTAAACCTAGGTGGGTCCAGCGCGGTTGGCAGCCACAGTGCATGTTAAGACCCTTTGTACATGACAATAAAGTTTACATTGAAGTTAACTCCAGGGAAAACTGTATCCTTTAGGTATTCACTCACAATAAAGCTCAAGAACAAAATATATATTTCGCCCTAGACTAGAACATTTCCGCATTCCAAGGTCATGCCAAGTGAATCAGTCATTTTGTGTGGAAAATTAACAGTCTATACAAGATGAAGTGTTTTTTCTATCCTATTTTGTGTACTTGTCACTGCTAAGAATAAAATCATGTGTATCATTAGCCTGAGAAAACAGCTGAAATTTCACGACCCTACTACTGGGTTCCCTGCGAAATCACGTCTGAGAAACGAGTGCAGAAATTCCATACTGATGGTGCGTCACTACCCATATCTGAGTAGTGCTTCTGATTGTTTGAAGCAAATTTCCCATGCAGCATGACCAATCAGAAAAGCAGTACCCAGATGGTAATAAAATTCAAGTATTCAACTATGCAACCATTGAGAACTTAAAACCTTTGAACTTACTGGACCCCTCAAGAAACAACCCTCCAATTTAGGCATGTTATTGGTCTGTTTGCAAAAAAAAATTGAGAATCTTTTGTTTTCAGAAAAAGTTGTGATTGGACAATCTTCTTCCCAGTGTCCCAGATTAACTGTCTGCGCTGTAATAGGTTTAAGAGTTAACCCAAAAGGAAATCATCCTCCTCTTTCCTCCACTTTTGTATGGGAAGTCCTGTTTCTTATGTTGTACATGGACAAGGTTGTTCTAGCTAAGTTTTGAGTCAATCTGTAGACATCTCAGTAGACACTATATTCTTTTTTATCAATGGCCTTTTTTTTGACAGGTCTTATGGCTCTGTATTTAAAGCAATGCACAAAGAGACAGGACAGGTTGTTGCAATTAAACAAGTTCCAGTTGATACAGATTTGCAGGAAATTATCAAAGAAATAAGCATGATGCAACAATGTGATAGGTACATGATATAAAATAAATTCCCGTCCACACTCTATGTTTTTGCGTTTTTCTATTTTTAATTAATTGATTATGATAAATTTGTTCTTTATTAACTTTAAATTCTCTTTTTATAGCCCATATGTTGTTAAGTATTATGGAAGCTACTTCAAGAACACAGATCTTTGGGTATGGTTAACCTGTAGTTTGTGTTGTTTGTACAGATGAGTATGTGTATTTGTACCTAAGAGAATGAAATAAATTCATCTGTTAAGAACAACCCACAAAGCCTTACATGATACCCACTGGCTGAGCTATTTAACTCTGGCGAGAAGCCAAACTACCAGGAATCTACACTCAAGTGCTATACTGCAACTGGTCATGCCTCTTGAAACAGGAACTTTTCAATACTCAGCCTCCATGTTATCCCTTTAGGTCCCAATAGTGACCAACATCAATTTTCTCCCAGCAATATCCATACATTGTCAAGAGATAAGGTTGTGAGAATTAATAAAATGATCACCTGAGAGAAAATGCTTTGATCTTTTATCAAATTCTCTCAACACATTCTTTAATAAAATGTATAGAGATCAGTTTGGGGAATTTGTATGTGTATATTGGGGCTTAAAGGGTTATTCAACAGTTCTGCCAAATGATATCAAACTTGAGACTAATGCTAAAACATTATTTTGTGAGAAAAGTTTTGAAATTACTTAAAACTAAAGCTGAATCCAGATAAAATTAATTTTTTTGTTTATTTGACATATTGCTTTCAATTTTGTCTACATGTACTTTCACTTAATTTTTATCCACATTACACATGTATAAAATAATATATTTCATAAGTGACATAGTCTTGATGAATGCAGAGCTACACCGTAGAAAAGTCATCAATAAACCATTATTATTATTTTATTATTATTATTATTATTATTATTAGATTTAAAAAGTTATGAAGAGAGTGAAACATGAATATGAATAACACTGTTGTGAATTACTCATCATTTGAACTGATTTTTAAGGGTGTTTCTAACTTTACATGACTTTCTTAGATTGTTATGGAATTCTGCGGTGCAGGATCTGTTTCAGATTTGATGAAAATAAGGAATAAAACTGTAAGTGGAGAGTAATGTGTAGATGTACATGTATGTAATCCTTAACATGTGTGTTATAGTATTTCATTACCTTGTCCCATCATCAGATACCGTAAAATTCTGAAAATAAGCCCCTCCATGTATAAGCCCCTCCAAATATAAGCCCCCCAGACCAGTAACGCAAAAAACCCTCCGTTAAATCACCCCTCCAAATAAAAACCCCCCAGGGGCTTGTACTTAGAAAATTGCCCTCAAATACAAAGTAAAACAAAGCAAAAACAGTAAATTTACTTCCAAATAAAAGGCTAGCCCATTCAATTTTGAAACACAAATTTCCCTCCGTAGATAAGCCCCTCCGAATGTAAGCCCCTCCAAAAATAAGCCGCTCAAAAAGGACCTTTGAAAAATATAAGCCCTGGGGCTTATTTTCGGAATTTTACGGTATATCAGAAGTTTTTATTTTTTTGGAGGCATAATGGTTAAGCCCAATACTATTTATTATTTATTCAAATAATTAATTCCAGTCCATTTCTGAAAGCTTAATTAATCAGCTAGTAAGTGATTTTTCAGCATTTTGCTAACACAAACCAAACTTGGAGGATTGATGTCATTGGTTTACTATATTTTTGCTTAGAATGAATTATGTCGTAGTAGGTTATCTTGCCAAGATATGTGCTATCTCAGGTATAAGAGCTTGTACTAACACTAAGGTACGGTGCTTTACACCACTACATTTAGCAACTCTCTGAATAAGCAGAACTTCTTCAGGGATCTTTGGTAATGTTTGGAAGTTGTCAGAGCATCTTTGGCATGGTGCGGTAGTCGTTGGTTTTATTCGGAAATCTCGGTATTTTATGAACATGGAAATCATACTCATGTGACTTAGCTTAGTTATGTCTTGTTAGAATGAGTAATGATA